CGGCGGCGGCTCGGCCGCGCCGGTGAACGTGCCCAACAGCCGCGGCGGCGTGGACATGACCATCGGCCAGACGAGCCAGCGCGCCATCTACCAGTGGAGCAGCTTCGACATCGCGGTCGACAGCTCCGTCACCTTCGACATGGCGCAGGCCGGCTCCAGCGCGCTGAACCGCATCGGCAGCGTCAGCCCCAGCCTGATCTTCGGCCAGCTCAAGGCCACCAACGGCGGCGAGATCCTGCTCTACAACCGCAACGGCATCCTGTTCGGCAAGGACGCGCGCGTGGACGTCGGCGCGCTGCTGGCGACGACGCTGGCACCCAGGGATGCCGACTACGCCAACGGCTTCGTCACCAACATCACCGGCGCCGCGGCCGCGCTGCGCTACGACGGCGCGGCGGCCGACTACGTCGACGCGAAGAACTTCATCCGCGTCGAGCCCGGCGCCGAGATCAAGACCGGCGAAGGCGGCCGCATCCAGCTCTACGCCAAGCGCGTCGAGAACGCCGGCTCGCTGACCGCGCCCGGCGGCCAGGTCGTGCTCGGCGCCGGTGCCGAGGTCTTCTACAAGCTGCCCACGGCCGAACCGCTGTACGCCTCCGAGGCCAACCCCAGCGTGCCCGCGCTGCGCGGCCTGCTCGTCGAAGTGGGCCGGGGCGACATGGCGATCGGCGCCGGCTCTGTCGACAACAGCGGCAGCATCAGCGTGCCACGCGGCAACGCCACGCTCGTGGGCCTGGCCGTCAACCAGGCCGGCCGCATCAGCGCGACGACGAGCGTGTCGCAGAACGGCTCCATCCTGCTGCTGGCGCAGGGCGACGCCGAGACCGACGGCAAGGGCGTCAGCGACCCGTACTACAAGCGCGCCGCGCGCAGCGGCACGCTGACGCTGGCTGCCGGGAGCGTCACCGAGATCACCGCGGACAACCACGGTGCCGACGGCAAGCTGCTGACCAGCGACGACAACGCCACCTTCACGCGCTCGCGGCTGGATCTGGCCGGCGGCAACATCACGCTGGCGCAGGGCGCCAAGGTCGTGGCTCCCGGCGCCGTCGCGGAGCTGCGTGCGCTGGACACGCCCGCGCCCTTCGGCGATCTCGTCAGCCGCAATCCGCTGTCCGCCACGGGCGGGCGCATCGTCATCGACGCGGGCGCCAGCATCGACGTGTCCGGCACGACGGACACGTCCGTCAGCGTCGCGC